AATACGTATGATGGACGATCCTCGCAGTAGATAGCGCTATTTGAGCAATAGCGAAATTCAGACCTGAAAAAAATCAGGCCTGTACGGGACTCGAACCACTGACCTCTGCGATACTAGTGCAGCGCTCTAACCAATCGAGCTAACAAGCCAACTGAGAGCAGGCAAATCTCTTTGCCATCTTTGCAGTTTCGAGTGTCTGTGATGGTTTTTTTTTCTTCACCTACATTCATTTTTTTGGGTTCCTACATATAAAATTAACTCGTATAGTTTCCAATAAGCACACTGCCTGGTTTATGGAGAACTGCCGGCAGGTGATAAACTTCTCGTATACAGGCCGCAGCCTGTGTTTACATTTCCTTATAAATTAGTCACGAGATTGGGAATGGATAACGATAAAAACTTCGACCTTATAAGTGTGATATGTATATCTGTATATTAGAAGGAGAAATTACATTTTAATCTGGAACGATTAAAGTGTTAACAGCCGTACCAAATCATATTTCTGAGTTATTGGCTCTTTGCTATTGAGTCATTCGCCAAAATTTTGAATATATTTTCATTGGGATTTGTCTAAAGACGCCAACGTTTTTCCACTGCACACTAGCAGTAAACCCTTCGATGGCTCAGGAGATAAACTTTAATACAATAACATCTTTCATTTTTTGTTGCATTTATGACGGCTTTCCCAGCCACCATTTTAACTATCAGGAATAACAATCCGTTGATTAGTTGCAAAAAGTTTCCAAGATTTTCAAGAGTTGTTCTTCCTGTTGGGGATTAAACGTTACTGCACAGGTAAGAGTTTAACCTTTGCTATCTCCTTCTATTTGATAGAGGTTTATATTTCAATTCGTTTTGCAATTCTCATTTCAGTGTAAAAAGTGCACAGCTGGTGAACGGGAACAAAAACACAAGTTCCTGATATTTTCCTTTAACTTATCTGATAATCAATCGTTTCATATTTTTAGAGTTTTTTGTCAAATACTTTTAGTCGCAGTTTTCATTTTCGATCAATTCAAGTCATCACAAATCGGAAATAAATGAGTTGCATATCTATATTTAGGGGGTCTTTTGGTGCATTTCACTCCTCTTCGGCGATTTTTGATAATAAAACAGCCTGGTATGTTCATCAATTCCAATGTAACACGGCTGTAGCACCCCCCTCCCCCCCTTTCCATCTTTTGAAAAAAGATGTGAAATATCTAGAGTGGCACATAGATAACAGACTGTGCGTTACTGTAACGGTGAGAATATTATCAATGTCTTTACTACTTACAGAACAGATCATATACTTCTGCTGCAATGAAACATTCACTCTCAACACGCGGTGTATTAGACTTTGATCGT